CTTCATACTTCACACGCAGAATATACTACCTGGGTCACATTTTAGTTTGCACAAGGGTTAGCAGTGTTTTCTACTGACAGAGTTGACTGAATGCAAAGTGAAAAATTAGATTTGCACACAAAGCTGCCACTCATCTCCAACCAGTCTGTGTGTGTACAGAGGGTGCACCTTTAGTGAGACTTAACTGTACTGTTACAAAGCAGTTTACAAAGACTAAAACTATTGTCACTCTAAGGTCGTCACCTGCAAGATCAACACGGAGAAGATGACTTTGTTCTGCCTTAAGTAACCTATTGTAGGTTTTTGATTTTTACTCTCAATGAGAAAGCTATGCAAAAAAAAAATAAATCTCAAATTACAATAAAACTATCAATAAAAACTTGGATGAGTATAAAGTATGATACGGGCTGCGGATTGATCGTCGAGGATACTAGTTGACCTTATGACAAATTATAAGATAATAAGCAGAGCGAGATACCAAAGAGGATGTTAGCTGACTTGGCTACAAATAAAACTTTCACAGGAAACATATTATCACTCGAAACTGTTTCAGACCAACTTCCCCAAAAAGTGACTGCACTTATAACTAACTATTCAAGTATTATTCAAGAGTGTACATGTTTAATAACAGGTCATCTCGAATGGTAACATCTACTCCTGCAGGAGGAATAACACACCCTGCAGCGTTATGGAAATTTCCCCTCACCAAGTTTGGACAGTTTAAGAAACTAACACCGAAGCGACAGGTGGAGAACAAAACTGTTAAAGAAATGACACTATTAGGTAAAGAAAAGGGAAAATAAGTAACGTACATGTCTGTTTCATTCGTGTCTGTTGAAGGTCGTAGTCGGTGCAGAAGTTTCTCTCAGAAAAACTTGGTGCTCAGCTGTCACAGCGGCTCGTCGGCTCCGTGTTCCATTTGGTCATCTTGGGAGCGAGGGATCATGGGACATGTAGTTTTTCAAGGAAGTGATTCTTTCAATCACAAAAATAGTAGCGCTTGTAAACAAAAAAAAAGATCAAAACAAATTATTATGCTCAACCTGATAATGATATGACCTTAGCGTCACTCAGAAGTATTAAATATATCGTTACAATTATGGCTTTAATATAGGCTACACTGTAACTCACACTTAAACAACTGCTGTATGCAATATACTGTATATGAGCAGGTGTTTGACTCATGCAAATTAAGCCAGGTCCTATAGTAGCAACTAGTCACATGCAAAGTATTTTAAGACGGAGAAATCACATCATGCCTTGGTGATATTTTTGGTTGTCCTGACAGACTGCACAGACAGTGTATGACCAACAGGTGACACACTTCCAGCACTAATTGCTGGATATCTAAATGGGTCTACCTGAAATAATATCTGAAGTATAAGTTCACAAGAAAGGGTTGCACTGCAAATAAACAAACGGAGTCATTATTTACGATATGCAATGGTATATCTATCTGTGTCTTATGTGTGCTATTAAAAGAATACCCAGAGTTATTTTCACGTGCCTCTCTTTCTTTATCGGAATCTTTCTGACCGAAAAGGAAACTCTCATGACTGAACCAAGTGCTAAGCTATTTTAACCGTGAGGGCCACCATCCAAGCTGGTGTGAGAAAGATAAAACACTCAAACGTACACCCACAGACTCCCACACAGATCTGATATGATCTGAACAACAGACTGTAGTGTTAACTGATTGTGTGAGGTAATGTTGACCTCTAGTGGTTAAACCATGAACATTAAAATTGTAGTTTTTAGTTGCTTTTATGTTGCTACCGTTTGTATAGAATTTCACATAGTGCATAAATGTATGTATAAATGTATAATAGTAATACAAATAATAATAATCATAATAATAATACAATGATAATCCATATATGTACATGGATAAATTAAACACAAACAACATACGCTGCATATCATGTATTTATTTTGTCTCGTGTACTTCCTAAATTATTTTTGTCACATGTACTTCTCATTTTTTGATTATTTTTGTCACGTGTACTTATTGTTGTCAAATTATTGTAATTCTTGTTGGTACATGTTTCTTTGGGGAGTGCTGTCTTTTAGCTTATCTCAGCAACTACTGTAAATAAGAATATGTTATTCATTTCTCATTAAAATACAGTTTTATTCAAGTAAAATAAAAACTATGCAACTTGTTTAAATGTTAATTTGCATAATAAAAAAGATGTTGTTTGGGTTGGAGCTCCAGAATAAGTATGTATGGGGACTTTTTCTGGGCGGGGGCCAGTGTGTTTGATGTTTCCAAGCTCAGCTTGCATGCCTTTTTCATGAACAAAGGGGTTTCTCTATTCAAAAGAAATGACCAAAGTGGTGAATGTGTGAACCTTTAAAGGGTTTGGTCGTTGGTCATTGCAGATAGCAAAAGCAGAACTGAACTGTAAAGCTCATCTTTAGCTCCTGTAGGGAATTTGGTCAAAGTAAGAACAAGTTGTGTTTCTTATGTTTTATGTATGACCTCAATTCTAGACCTATTTTATCTAGACCCAAATCTCCAACCTCCAGAAAATGCTGAGGTGACTAAAACATGTTTTATACTCACAGCGTGCCTCTCTCTTTGTACAGGTGGTCAGCTGCAGCTCCACTGTCCATTGTTTAAAAACATTCCTCACTGGACACTGTACAGCAGGGCTGCATGTCTTCCATTTGTAGGTGATGATTAATAATTTACCCCAGTCTCAATCAGTCCAGTGAGCCAGTGCTCTGCTGCAGGCCACTTCCTCTCCCAAGGACAATGGGGCCATTTCCTGTGGGGAAGAAGACAGAGGACCAGCGAGAGCCAAACAGGCCAGTATTGTGAAGCAGGGACATCATATCAGTGTGCCCTGTCCTTGGAGTCAAAGACAGAATTGAGCTTGCAGTGAGATTAATGACGTGTTTACTGGTGAGTTACAGGGCAAGACAAGCAAAGTAATGATAGACACCAGTGCAGACGTCTTACTGACCGGCTTTAATGTTTACCAGGAAACACGTTTGGAGTTTATCAGGCTGTGGAGTATCTACGATACGTCAGATACAGAGGAAGATAAAGCAGCCTTCAACTTTATCTAAGAGAGACTTAAATAGTGAATTAGTGTTGCAGGTGTTTTTGACAAGGTCAGAATGATCTGAAACCCACATGAATCCCACTCTTTTAATCCCTGGCTGATTTTCAAGATAAAGCGGCTGCTGTTCTCAAAACAATGACCCCATTCATGTCCCTGCTGCCCCAGTGTCCAAAAGCCAAAACAAGACAAGACATGCAGGGAAAAGTAAGAGTATAAAGTTATGAAGGCATAAATGTCCTGAACATATGAAAAGCCAAGACTGTTAATTGGGCCTGAAGCTGTTTTCAAAGAGGGGGCTGTCAGTCAACACATTCACTCTGACAAGTATAATGGCCTATAAAGCCATCAGTGGCCTTGTCCCCCTCAGACCCCATCTCCTTCACTCTAGGAGGCACAGATGATGCCTGTCACAATGGCCACATAGGAAGAGCCGTGACATTTTGCCTGAGGCAGGCTGTATAATATATCGCCTGACCTCTCTGAGACTGCAATCAGGGATGAATGTGTTTTAATACTGAAGACACACAGACTTGCTAACCTCAGATGACCACACCATTTGTGTCCAGATAGAGGGAAGTTAACGCTTTTCTGGCATTTATTCACTGAAAAAAAAGAGGGAGGAGTGCTGTCATCAAAATTTCTGGCACTTTCTTAAATAGTCCTGTATACATGACTAAGGTTCATTTCAGGGTCAACTGAGCCTAAAATATGAGACCCGCCCCCAAAACCTCCCGAACACCCTCTTATCTGAAACTTACTTTTCTGTGTTTTGTCTGTTCTTGTTTGCTTTGTGGGCTGTGTCCAATAAATGCTCATCAACTCTGGCAACAAGACAGTCACTGGTTAGAAGACAGTTTTTGGTTTCCTATTTGTTGAAAAGATTGATTGCTGTGAATAATTCAGTTTGGGATGATTAGTTCACAAATGACTCTAGAAAGCAAACGGCAGAGTGACATAACCTAATTGACATGATTAGTTAGTTTCAGCCCCACCCACTTCTTTTTGCAATTTTTTGATTCAACTCATATCTTAAATCAATACTAGTGAAAGCATGTGTTTTTTAAACAAGCAAACTTTTGACACAAAAACACTGATAATGCCAAGGTATCTGATTCTCCATGAGCTCTCGTCTTCACTCTGTCTACACCTTCTATTTGACTCAGTCTCCCTTTCTGGGTTTTTTTTTTTTAGGCTATCTGTGATGTGGGGTGAGAAAACACCAAAACATGCAACATCGATAGTATCTCTTTTTCTGAGTAAATAGCGTGAGCAGCCGCTCTGACAGCGTGTCATTTCCCGGCTGCCTGAGTGACTCATGTTGTCTGGTTTCGTGCTGTAATCCAAGGTGTGGTCGCTCGTCATACAGGTGCACCAAACGCTTGTCAGCACACAGCGTCGTTGTAGTCACTTTCTCACACAAAACTCGAAATGACCGTGCATTGTGTCGTAGACCCTCTCCCCCACTGTATTGCTCCTATTTGGTCCAATTTCCTTTCAACATTGATCCATTTGAAAATCAATTCTATAAAGGGCTGCTGTGAGTTGTTATCTGGCATACGCTCAGCATATTAAAGCCTACCTTTATCAAAACAGCATGACACGCGTGATAAAAGTTTTTCAAAAAGTGCTACATCTCGGAGACATTTTTTTGGGATTATACAGCCTATAATGGTCCCTTATTACGTTATTCCGTGATTGTCTTTGCAAAAGTAGCCTATATCCTAACACTGCAGTATAAAAGGCTTTGTTGCTTCGGGCATGTCTCTAAGAAAAAACATCTTATTGTTTACCAATTGACTACAGTTCCTGGCAATAAAACAAGCTACATGGCCTCTCGCCTGTGTGGAGAGATAGACTGTGAAGCTGTGGCAGGGTGGGGTCGGGATGTCGGGGGCGGAGTCTGGGCTGAGGTGACGCTTCTTTACTCATTTTTGTTCAGAGGTCTGTCGGCCAGGAGCAGCTTTCCAGCAGCAGCAGCAGCAGCAGCAGCAGAGAAAGTGAAGAGAAGTGAGGAAATACAGAGAAGTGTCCCATCCCGCAGAAAACAACACTTATCTGGAATAAACTCAAACGCCTCCGTTTGTTTCGTCAGGTAAGGTTCCCTGAACCCATGTTGAGCCTCTTTCCTCCGACTCTTCTTTTGAGCTGGTTGTGGTGTCTTTGTCATCGACGGTGTTTTTTTTTTTTTGGTGTGTGTTTTCTTAACTTCTTCTTGTGTAGGCTATTCTAGTTTAACACTTTGTTTTTTGTGTGTGAGTGAGGTAACATGTTTTTTTTGTCACATTTGATCTGTTTTTCCTAGATAATAGGGGCAAATCCAGACTCATATTTGGAATTCATTTCCGCATGCCTTTAACTGACCACTGCTGCCTGCTGTTTCGGTGTAGCTTCACGTAACATGCGCGACCTCTCGACATAAAAAAAAAAAAAAAAGTTTGCTTTCTCGCTTTGAACTTTACGCTTTCATTGTCCAAGGTGACAATGACGCCCCCGATGATACAGTTGATACGACTTTTATGGCCCCAGTAGGCTATCGATCGTTCAACTTGACGTCACTTGTCAATAGAATCCCACAGTGTCCCAGTGTGTGTGTGTGTGTCCCAGTGTGTGTGTGTGTGGTGTGTGTGAGAGAGAGAGAGAGGCAGGTGAAGCGTTATTACCGTAGATTTAGATAAAACGCGACTCACTTGTTTTTTTTATATATTGGCCCTCGACAAGATTTAAGAGGTTATGGGCTATACTTTGCAACGCCTAACGTTTAGGATATCTCAAATTAACTTTTATGGACACTTGTTTACCAGATAACTTAACATTTATGGTTCCAGCTAACTCGTAGATAGATAAGACTTAAAATAAATAATTTGCTCAAATTATAAGCCAATTCATACAAGCTATATTAATGTGCATGTTTTAAACTTCCCTATAATCCCTTTTTTTTTTTTTTTTTTTTTTTTTTTAGCAATTTCTAAAGTGTCAACAATGCACATGTTCTTATCTCTTTACTGAATTATATGTTTTTCTGTTTTTTCACATTAATTTGATTGTCCTTTTATTGTGACTTTTTTTTCTCTTGGTTGGAAATAACAAGCAATTTGAAGACACAAACTTAACTGTTTTATGAGATATTATGGACCAATGATTAACCTGAAAGTTAATAAGCGAATTCAATTTGCTTCATGAACTGAAGCCCTAATCTATTTAAGTTTTTGTTTTTTTCAAAACTAGAGTGACTAGCACAATGAGCTCATTTTGCAGGGGGAGTTAGCTGAGTTCACACCTATGTGTAATGTATGACATTGAATTATTAATCACATCCCTAAAGTGAGTGTAACTATGGCACCCACGACTCCAACACAGCTGTTCATGCCAGCAGTGATATCTCCAGGTGTTGCCAAACTTCCATGATGTCATTCTTCAGTTAGCAGATGCACCCAACTTGACAGGGCAGAAGTTTTTCAACCATGCCTGATGACATAAGGAGAACAAATTTCGTTGGAAAATCTTTACTGAAATCAGCATCCATTTGATTTCCTTTTACTTATCTGATTAAGTCATTTGTATGTTAAAGTAACGTTTCCCATGAATCATATTTGAATTAGCAGTTAAATAGCTTTTTCATTACAACTGAGCAAGTGTCCATCATTGGGTCACTTAACACTAAATGACGTTATCTATTGTTCTTTTGTTCAGTTTATCAGTAAATAACAACAACAAAGCACCAAGACCAGTGCTAAACAAGTTTGTGGAGTTCATCTTGTTTCTAGTCCAATGCGTCCAGCTGAGGCTGCTGAATGTGTGTCATGTTGAATAGGACATGGTGCCAATACTTTCTGCCAGTCAGCCCTCTGCCAAGCTCACCCTGGGTTTGTGTCATCAAGTAGTGCAGCAGCAGACAGCACCCTGGTTGGAAAGCTGTTCCTGTCTGCCCTCAGGGAAGGGGGCGGCTGGATGGTGGGCCGGCGGCGGGGGGAAGGATGGGGGACTTACTGTAGATTTCGTTGCTACAGCTGTGGTAGCACGGTGATTATCCCCCCCCCCTCCTGCTTAATTCCGTGATACTGTCCTACATTAGCAGAGCAAGAGGCCAGGAGATCCTTCAGTTTATAAATAGGTCTACACTATGCAAAGGGGATTACTGTATGGCATATATGCTGACCTCTTTGTTTAAGGATTTCTTTCTGTGTGGATTCGCTGTCTTACCTCGTTTTTGTCTCTGTTTATTGGTGCCTGACTGAGTAATTTCCAGGGACTCAGTTACAGCCTCTAGGCGCACACGTCTGCTGACCTGCACTGTGTTTGCATAACACCAGTCCTCCTCTATGTTTTACTGTTCCCATGGAGAACAGGGCGCACAGAGATAAAGTTTCCCGTCAGCCAGGATAGGGGTCTTTGTGCTTGAAGTCAAAAGCGAGTTGATGTGACGGCATCAGAATCTCCATGGGGTTCTCATTAAGAGGCTTTAGAGAAAACCTTCTTCACACAATATTATCTTCACTGATATATTAAACCAGTCTCTATAGACACACAGTGCTTTCATATAATTAACATTCCTGACCAAAGAACAAAACCGCAAGATACCCCAGTGGTTAATATACTTTAAAATGGATGACTTTAACTATAAAGCAGGTGCAAGAAAATGCTAGGAGAAGGGAGTGTGATTTATTTATACAAAATAACTTTGGGTGTCTTGTTAAGGACGAATATTGTAATTGAATAATTGGCAGAATAGTTAGAAAAACATCCATTCACATGAACGAATCGGCTGTCACTGACAAAAGATAAAATCAGAAGCTTCCTGCAGAGCACAGCGGTATAGTGCTGAGCAAGTAAAGCTGACATTGGACAGCTGAACTCTTCCCATGACTGTCACTGAAATTAATTATTTACCTCCAACAGTTCTCGTGGTTTTATCAAAGGAGGAGGACAAGAAAATGTCCCTTACTTATAATCCCACAGGCCCAATGGCTGTTTCTCCCCGTCACTTGCACTTTTGAATCTGTGTGAATGTCTGCCAGGTCCTTCACTCCATGTCAGCTCCTGTCAGGGCGCTGTACAAAACACTTGTGCACCCGTCCAACAGCATGCTGGAAATAGCTGAATCTTGCTGTTTTCTCCAGAATACATTACCAATGATAATTTTTTCATTACTGACAGCGAATCTAAGCTGGGAGGGAGTGAACTAGATTCAAGCCCTGACTCAAAAGATAAAGTTTTCACAGTTGGATGATTTGGCTGAGTTGTATTTCTCAGCATAGTGACTCTGATGAGGCCTGGGGTGTCTGTTTTTCTCCTCCTCCTCCTCCACCCTGTCCCTTAATTACACATCTATGAGAGAGTGAGGAGTATGAGGACAGCAAGGGTGTGGTTGAAATGGAAAGCAGATCACCAAGAGATGACTTTTACATGCATATTTACTACTTGATCTCACAATGAAAATGTTTTTGCATTTCCCTACTGTTGAGGGAAACTGTCATAACTTGGCTTTTGGGGGTTTCATGTTTGGATCTCAAGCTTTTGCGGGTTGAGAAAGTTGTGCAATCCTGCTCTATCTTTTAGAAACACTTTTTAGACCATCAAGGCTGTTTATTTGTTGTTTTTTTTGCTTTAAATGTGACATTTCTGAGTACTTATCTGACTCTCCCTCCCGAGGCACATTTAGATTTTATGTTTATATTCGTAATAAAGAAAGCATGAACTTGAGCTGTTTCCAGAGGAGTGCTGTATTCTTTCACCCCCCTTCAGACTTCTCCCCTTCTCTCTAAAGCACCCCCTCCCGCTCCCTCGTGCCTCTAATCTCCCTGAAAAATTAATCATCTGTCACATCGCCTCAGTGCTCAGGCGCACACCGATGCGTAGCAGTTTAAGAAATAACTCCCCGCCAGGCCTTAAAGCGATGCTTTGGATGCAGCGCTGGTCACTAAACTTGGCTACTGAACACACAGAGCCATTTTGATGTGCTTCAGCCTTTTTGGTCCCATCCAACGGGAACACTTGAAACCCGTTTCCTTTTCACTGTAACAGCAGTCAATGGGACAATGAAGCTACTCTTTTCCTCTCTACCCCTTACAAAGTAACACAGAAACCTCTCTGTGCTGTGTCAGAGACTTAGTCAATCCTTCTCCTTCCTACTGTCTACCAAACAACATGGAGGCTGGACCATCCTAATGACTGTGTAGGTCCGAACAACCTACCTGAGAGAACTTCTTTACCACTTCACAACAAGTAACTCGGCATCAAATGTTCAAATTATGTCTTAAGTCTAGTAGACAAATCTAAATCCCCCAATTCACACTCAGTTAAAAACTTTCTGTGCTCAGCTCAATCAACACTAGAGGTTGGAAAAAAAAAAATCAATTTATGTAAAAATCGAGATTCTTGTAAGATTTAAAATCGATTCACAACTTCCTAAAATCCTTTTATTTATTTTTTTGGCTAATCAGTCACTCCCTGCTAAGTGCTAAAGCTAGCTCTTTAACTTAGTAGAATGCCAAAGAGAGCAACAAGAAATTCAGTCAGTCTCACAGATGACTGGAGTAGATCCGGAAGTATGTACTCATTCATAGATAGACTTTGAATCCATGGATCAATGAATCCATTATTGTTTGAATCGAGAATCGAAAATCGATTCTGAATCGAATCGTGACCCCAAGAACTAAAATCGAATCGAAAGACACCCAAAGATTCCCAGCCCTAATCAAAACTCTAGATGTTACTGATGTCTGTGTAGGTTCTGTTGAGGCAGCTAAATTAATCACTTGAAGTCCAAGAACAATTTCCCGAAAGAGGCCATAAAGTGTATCTTATCTTATCATATGGTATGGTGCAGTATGGTATCATTATGAACCCAGCCGACCGACAACCTGAAACGGAAGACTATCTGTGGACAAACTTCTCTCTCTTTTACATAATCTGACATGTAATGGACTATTTGGTGAACTTTGTGGCTTTGCAAATGAGGGTGTATTACCACAGTAGATACACCCCCTTTTTTTACACATTCCCCTCTTCTTTATCAGCTTCATGTAATCTGATCCTGCCCTTCTCTCCAGCACCTCCTCCGAGGCAGCTCACATTTCCTTTGATTCACAGTGA